ACAAATAATAATTCACCTAAACAAAGTAGGCATAAAAGAAAAAATCCTAAAGGCAGCAAGAGAAAAAGGTCAGATGACCTACCAGGGAAGACCAATTCGAATAGCAGCAGATTTATCTACAGAAACACTTCAGGCTAGAAGAGCTTGGAGCCCAATCCTCAAAGTTCTCAAAGATAAACAATTTCAACCAAGAATAACCTACCCAGCCAAGGTAAGCTTCATCAGTGAGGGAGAATTAAAATCTTTCCCAGACATCCAATCCCTAAGAACTTTTTTTTTTTTTGAGTTGGAGTCTCACTCTGTCGCCCAGACTAGAGTACAGTGGCTGCTCCTGGCCACCACAGCCTCGAACCGCTGGGCTCCGGTGATCCTTCCGCCTCAGCCTTCCGAGTAGCTGGAATTACAGGCATGCGCTACCATGCCCAGCTGATTTTTTGAGGTCTCACTGCCCAGGCTGGTCTCGAACCCGCAGGCTCAGGCAATCCACTTACTTCAGCCTCCCAAAGGCGCAGGATTGCAGGCTGAGCCACCGAGCCCAGCCTTATCCTTAAGAACTTATACTGCCTCTACAAGAAATTTGTACTTATACTGCCTCTACAAGAAACTTATACGACCTCCACAAGAAACACTTAAGAAAATATTAAACACAGAAGAAATGGAGAAAAGAACAACAATGTTCTTCACAAGAGTATAGGAAAAAGATGGAAAACACAGATGAATAAACCCAAAAAACCAAGGAAAGACAGCAAACAAACAGGAACAACAACAACTCTAGAGAACCTGAACAGGGATAAACCCCCATATTTCAATACTTAGCCTGAATGTGAATGGACTAAATGCACCACTGAAAAGACACAGAATGGTGGGCTGGATAAGAAACTATGGGCCCATTATTTGCTGCATCCTGGAGACTCATCTCACTACAAAGGATGCATACAAACTCAAAGTTAAAGGATGGAAAACGAGCTTCCAGGTAAATGGATCACAAAAGAAGGCAGGAGTTGCCATCCTAATATCAGACAAAACAACCTTTAAGCTATCAAAAATTAAGAAAGATGCAAAGGACACTACATAATGATAAAAGTTCAATCTGTCAACAAGAAATATCCATCCTAAACATATATGCATCCAACACAGAAGCACCATCATTTATAAAGCAACTACTAAATAAACTAAAAAAAGATATTGACTCTAAAACTATTATAGCAGGGGACTTGAATATCCCACTGACAGTCCTAGATAGATCATAGAAGCAAAAAATCAATAAGGAGATCCAGAACCTAAACTCAACACTTGACCAAATGGATTTAGCAGATACCTACAGATTATTCCACCCCACAACCACAGAATGTACATTCTGCTCATCACCACATTGAACATACTCCAAGATCGATCACATCTTGGCAATAAATCAAGCATAAAGAAATCCCATAAGTTTGAAATCTTGCCATGCACATTCTCAGACCACAGTGGAATAAAAATAAATATCAAAACCAACAACATTTCCCTAAAGCCCACAAAGACATGGACACTAAACAGCATGATGCTGAACAGTGACTGGGTCAACACTGAAATCAAGGAAGAAACTGAAAGATTCCTGGAAACAAATGAAAATTAAGAAACATCTTACCAAAACTTCTGAGATGCCATGAAATCAGTTCTAAGAGGGGTCTTTATATCTCTACAAGCACATATCAAGAAAATGGAAAGATCACAAGTGGAGAGTCTAACAAATGACCTAAGGGAGCTGGAAAGAGATCACCAAAACCCCAACTTTAGCAGAAGAATCCCAGTCACAAAAAGAAGAGCCCAAATAAGGGACATAGAAGAAAAAAATACCATAGAAAATATCAACAAAACAAAAGGCTGCTTCTTTCAAAGAATTTAAAAGATTCATGGGCCCCTGGCCAGAATGACCAAGAAAAAGCCCTAATAAACATAATCAGAAATACAAAAGATCAAATCACAACTGACTCTGAAGAAATACAAAAGATTATCAGAGATTACTATGTACACCTATATGGAAACAAATTTGATAACCTAAAAGGAATGGAGGACTTCCTGACATCACACAACCTCCCCAGGTTAAACCCAGAAGACATTGAGACACTAAATAGACCAATAACAACCCAGGATATTGACTTCAACATACGAAAACAATCTTCAAAAAAAAGTCCTGGACAGGATGGCTTTCCAGCAGAATTCTATAAAATGTACAAAAAAGAGCTGATACCAATCCTTTTGAAAGTATTCCAAGGCAATTGAGAAAGATGGAATTCTCCCCCAAATCATTTTACGAAACTAACATTACACTGATACCCAAACCAGGTAAAGACCCAACAAAGAAAGAGAACTATGGGCCAATATCCCTTATGAACATAGATGCAAAAATCCTCAACAAGGTTCTAGCAAATGGGATCCAAAATCATCCACCATGACCAAGTAGGCCTCATCCCCAAGATGCAGGGCTGGTTCAACATTTGCAAGATCATAAATATCATTAAACGCATCAACAGATATAAAAACAAGAACCACATGATTATCTCATTAGATGCAGAAAAAGCTTTTGATAAAATCCAGCATTCCTTCTTGACAAAAACCCTCAAACACCTAGGTATAGAAGGAACATACCTCAAAATAGTAAGTGCCATCTATGACAATCCCACAGCTAACATATTGCTAAATGGACAGAAACTAGAATCATTTCCCCTGAAAGCTGTAACAAGACAAGGTTGCCCACTCTCACCCCTCTTGTTCAATATTGTGTTGGAAGTCCTAGCTCAGGCAATTAGACAAGAGAAGGAAATCAGGGGTATCCAAATAGGAAAAGAGGAAGTCAAGTTATCCCTCTTTGCTGATAATATAATCCTATAACTTGAAAATCCAAGAGACTCTAAAAAACCTGCTTGCTCTGATAAAGGACTTTGGCAAAGTCTCAGGGTACAAAATAAATGTGCAAAAGACAGTTGCATTCCTATACACCAACAATAAGCAGGCAGAGACCTGAATAAAAAGCACAATCCCATTCACAATCGCCATCAAAAAAAATGAAATACCTTGGCATCTTCCTAATCAGAGACATGAAAGACCTTTACAATGAGAATCACAAAACACTGCACAAAGTAATCCAAGAAGACACAAACAAATGGAAAAATATTCCATGCTCATGGATAGGAAGAATCAACATTGTTAAGATGTCCATCCTACCCAAGGCAATCTACAGATTCAGTGCAATACCCATTAAGCTACCAACATCATTCTTCTCAGACCTGGAAATGACAATACATAAGGAAACATAAATGACCATGAATAGCCAAAACAATACTTAGCAAAAGAAGCAAAGCAGGAGGTATCACACTTCCAGACTTCAAACTTTCCTATAAGGCTACAGTAATCAAAACAGCCTGGTACTGATACAAGAACAGGCACATAGACTAATGGAACAGGATAGAGATTCTGAAAGCAAAGCCTCAATTCCTCAACCAACTCATCTTTGAAAAAGCCTCCAACAACAACCACTGGGGAGAGGAGAACCTATTCAGTAAATGGTGCTGGGAAAACTGGCTGACCACATGCAGAAGATTGAAACAGGACCCCTACCTATCACCATACACTAAATGGATCAAAGACCTAAATGTAAAACCTCAAACTATAAGAATCTTAGAAAACACAGGAGACACCCTTATGGAAATTGAAACTGGGAACCAATTCCTATTCAGGACCCTAAAGGCCAATACCTTAAGAAATAAAATAGACAAGTAGGACCTCATCAAATTAACAAGCTTCTGCAAAGCAAAAAAAACCATCAAGAGAGCAGGGGGACAGCCCACAGAATGGGAAAAAATACTTGCCAACTGTTTATCTGACAAAAGCCTCACATCCAGTATCTACAAGGATGTGAGATACTCAAACAGGCTGAAAGGAAAAAACAAACAGCCCTTTAAAAAGTGGGCAAAAGACATGAATAGACACTTCTTCTCAAAAGAAGATACATGGGCAGCCAACAGACACAAAAAAATGCTCGGCCTCACTCATCATCAGAGAAATGCAAATCAAAGTCACATTGAGATACCACCTAAGAATGGCCATCATTAATAAAACAAACAACAGATGCTGGCAAGGATGTGGAGAAAAAGGAATGCTTCTACACTGCTGGTGTGAATGCAAACTTGTACAACCTCTTTGGAAGATAGTGTGACGATTTCTGAAAGAACTAAATATTGACCTTCCAAATGACCCAGCAATTCCTCTATTGGGAATATAACCAGAGAAACTCAAATCATTCTACTATAAAGATATTTGCACACATATGTTTGTTGCAGCTCTATTCACAATAGCAAAAACATAGAACCATCCGTGTTGCCCATCTAACTGGACTGGATAAAAAAAAAATGTGGTACATATACATAATGGAATATTATGTAGCCATAAAGAAGGACAAATATATGGATTTTGCAGCAACTTGGATGGATTTATACTCATTTATCACAGAAACAAAGAACAGAGTTCCATATATTCTCACTCATAAACGGATCTTGAACAATTATAATGCTATAAGAAAGTGACTGGCAGTAGTGGAAAACTGTCAGGGGAAGGGGAGTAGGACTGGCAGTTGAGGGAAACTGCTAGTGGAGGGAGGGGCATACCTCATCAACAAGGGTACCTGCATGATCAATGTTTATATACCTAACCCTGAAATGTACCCCACATCTTTATAATAAAAAATTTTTTAAATAAAATAAAAAATAAACTAAGCATCAACTGGACACAGGCCCCGTACACACTCAGCTCCTCACAGACTTCCTCTTCCCCACCTGCAACAGACTCAGTTCAGCAAACATGTGGATTCTGGAAGGTTCTCAGGTCTTCCATTTATTTCCTCTCTCCAATTTTAGAAATCTCCTTCTTTAGCTCATTAACCTCTCATGGCAAGTATCTTAAAAACAAACTTATATTCAGATTCCTATTTTCTTTAGGGAAGCAAGAAGTTAGACCTCAGCACACCATGAAGTAGAGACAGGGATGGAGACGTCCCCACCCCACCTCTCTGGAACAGGGAAGATGATCAGGGAAGGCAACAGGTCAGGGCGGTGAAGGGAGTCAGTGTGGACACAGGGGTGGGCTGGTCTTCTCCCCACATCCTCACATTGTCCTAACAGGAACACAAACCCATTCAAATGTCCTTTGCAGAAAGAGAAGTCAGAGGCTCTTGAAGTCACAAAGGGTAGGCATGAACAAATCTTCTGTCACTCAGTCCCACAAAAGGCAGCTGGGTCACACTATAGAAGAAAATAGTCATGAACAAATTCAGATCAGTGTTGGTGACCGGCACCGACCGAGGGAGGGTTAGGACCCGCACCGGAGAGTCAAGACGGAGAGAAGAGACCACTCGGAGGCAGTTCTTCTGGGATCAATCTGATCAGGACTGAGTCCAAATTTTATTCGGACTCCTTCCAACTTATATACCATTTTCTATACCCTCCAGCAGTGTGATAATCACTTGCTGGGGGCGTACAAATTCCATGCATATCACGCTTTGCAAACTATGCATCACAAGACCATCACGAGACTTGCAAGTTCCAAGCAAACAATTACAATTCCATGATGCATGACGTACTTCACAAAACTTACATTAAAATCACAGGTGCACAATTTCAATACAGATTGTTCAAAGTGTTTTCCATAATGTTCAATAAATCATTCATATTATACTTTTTGTTCTAAACCCTGATTAATACAAAAACTTTCTAAGTTAACTCTAGGTTCAACCCAAGTTCACTGACTCCTAATATTTTTAACGATTAATATTATCAAGTTAACACTATACTATAATCTATAAGTTTAGTTAAATGAATTAACTGTTAGTTATACTATTAACCTATTATGATTTAACATAATGCCTTATAATTCAGTTAACACTTATTCTTAAACTACCAAACTTTACTATAATTCATATGAGTTTCATATGTCTAAACTTTAATTTTTATATAATTTGATGATTGAACTTTAATATTATGCTATATCTTATTAAGCTAATACCTTATCGTTAATTCTTTCATAAATCTTATGGTAGTTGTCATACTCTTGAACAAGGAAATGTATGGTTGCCATGACGGTGGCCATGGGCTGAAGCAAACAGAGTTTCGGTAATTAACGAAACAAAAAAAAAACGTTCTGCCTGGCTAGAGGCAGGGTGATAAAACTATTATGGTAATTTAGTTTCTAATCTTAGCCCTAGGGGAAACTGCTTTCGGGAACAAGAGCTGACTAACCAGTCTACCAGGAAATAGAAGTTTAAAAATGTCTTGAAAAAGGAGTACAACTTAGAAAGACAAAGAAAAATAATTCTGCTGTGCACTTTCCATCAGGTGTATTGAGATTTACTTATAAGTTTTACTGCCATGTATGCACACTGGTCACTAATCACACGCCAATATTATAGGTATAACTGATATCCTATGTCAGAGGCGATCTTCCAGATGGGCCTTTACAGGCCTCAGCCATGTAGCTATAGATGTTGGCTCCCAACAGATCAGCCATGGTAAGTGGTGACCTTCTGAACAACCCACCACACACTCAAAATGTCCCCCAAATCTCCACAGCCCAGTTGTGTCCCCTCTTCCCCACCCCCTCCTCCACCACATTAGGCTCCCAGGGTCATACCTTTACAAGCCGTGAGAGACACATCAGAGCCCTGGTCACTGTCACCACCTGGGGTGGAACAAAACAGGACCTGGTCAGAGTCCACAGGAGATGTGGTACAAGAGAAATTATGGGGTGGGTGAGCTCCCCCATGGGCTCCTATCCACACTGTTCCAAGAACCTGATGGATCATGGCCACCACATTTACTTGCAGCCTGAGAGTAGCTCCCTTCTTTTCCACCTGTGGGAAGAAAATGTTCATTGAGAGGCCAGAGAGGAGGCAGGCCCATAAGGTCCTAGAGGAAGCCCTAGTCTTAGACCCCAGGGAAGTTTCTCAAACTGTGACTATAGACTCAGGGCAGCATCAGGAAACAAGAAGAAAGGAAATGTATTAGAACTGGACCAACTCCCCCCCTTGGAGGTCTGTCCTCAGGAGGGACCTTCCCTGCAACCTGTGACTATTGGGAATCAGGTCCCCTTCACCATAATCATCAAGGTGAAAAATTTGTCCTTTATTTCCACATGTGCTGTGCATAAGAGTAGGTATATGTAGACACACAGGGCCCAGGTTGAACAAGCACCTATGTGTGGATGGTACTTCCCAGTAATGAGGCTGGACACACATCTACCAAAAACTTGAAATGCCCAGTGGGACCAGAAAACCCAGACCACACCCCTCACCCCTTCCCTGCCTGAGTTCTTCTTCCTCCACATCATAGCTCCAGTGACCACAGCTCCAAGGAGAACCAGAAACAGGCCAGCAACGATTCCCACAATGAGGATGGTGGTCTGGGAAGATGGTTCTGGGAAAGGAAGGGAAGGTGAGGGCCCCTGACTCCCCAGCTTCAGGGTCTCCAGAAGGGCTCCTGCTTTCCCTGAGAAGAGACTCAACCCCACCACCCCCCACCTTACCCCATCTCAGGGTGCGGGGCTCTGGCAGCCCCTCATGCTGGGCATGGCATGTGTATCTCTGCTCCTCTCCAGAAGGCACCACCACAGCTGCCCACTTCTGGAAGGTTCTGTCCCCTGAGGGCCTGGTCTCCACAAGCTCCATGTCCTGAGTTTGGTCTTCCCCATCCCGCTGCCAGGTCAGTGTGATCTCCGCAGGGTAGAAGCCCAGGGCCCAGCACCTCAGGGTGACATCCCCATTGGGGCTGAGGTGGTGGGTCATGTGTGTCTTTGGGGGATCTTAGTGAAGAGTCAGAAAATTCAGGCACTTTGCATCCCTCATGGGGCCCTCCAGCAGTGCCCATGTGACCATCCTGGGAATGGACAAGACAACCAGGTGGAAGAAGCACAAAGTTCACACCAGCCTGACATAGGCAATTGGGATATCTATTCCTTGGAAAGTTCTAGACTCTGAGGAGAGAACAGGGACTTCTGGTCCTGACCTGAGTGGAGGTCAAGAGACTCTGGCGAGCTAGAGTCGACCTCCAAACACCCTGAGTGTGAGGCAGAGGACAAGGCCTGAGAGAAGAAGTCATGGTGCCCAAGGCTGCTGCAGGGGTCAAAGGGAACCCCTGATCCCCATTTCAGGGACTGTCTTCCCCTCGTTCCCTCAGAGACTACATCCCTTGCTGTCCCAGAGAGAAGGGCGGGCCTGAGTCACTCTCTGGAACAGTAGCTGGAAGACCTAGGAGGATTCTTCCTGCTCTGGACCATGGGGAGGGCGATATTCTAGCGTTAACCCCATTTTCCTCCCCTTTCTGTTGAGCCCAGCCCGGGAGATCTGCAGGAGGTGGGGGAGGCGCCCCGCGGCCCTACTTACCCGCGCGCTGCAGCGTCTCCTTTCTGTTCTCCAGGTGCCTGAGCAGCGACTCCACACACCCGCCCGCCCTCCAGGTAGGCCTTCATTGGCTCCGCCACACGGGCCTC